TAAACCATTTAAAGTTATGGATTTACACTGAATGATAAACATCACGAAAGTCACGACAATCCCCCCTGAATTTTCATGTTCTTTACGATAGATATCTCTATATTAAAGGGTATCTGATTTATTGTGCGTTATTACTACAACTTCCCCCAAGAAGTACCAGCAAATTCCACGGACTAAATGAAACAATATCTGGCAGCAAATAATTTCAAATCGTAGAATCAATTATGGAAAAAGTGTAACTTTATCCTTCTGTAACTCAATCTTAATCCCACATTCTACCACGTGCAGAAACCTGCAGCGTTAGCCACTTGAGGTTAATTTCATTCTGTCTAGGGGTTCTCTCAACCTGTTCCAAGCTGCATAGAACTTTCACAGGCACACAGATAATGTCCAGCTGCTGGTGGAAGGTGGCACCTGATTCTCACTCACCATCAGGCATGTTGGAGTTCCCCAAGACTCACATCCCATCTGTCCGTCAGTAATCAGGGCTTGTAGACTACTTGTATATGTGCCTGTCCCAACCTCAGGGGCTCCTGGAAATACTCAGCTGTGTCAAGTTTAAGTCAGTCTTTGCTGCCTCGCAAAACTTCATGCCACTTTCATGAGATAATCTATACCCCTCTCTCCTTCCTCAACATTCCAGACAGTCATCTCAACTCTGGTGCAAGGCTTGCTACTTCCCCAGGTTCCATTCCAGAAATAAGGGCTTCATGTACTCAGATTTCTAAACCCCCCAAATAAAGGCCTTTTCCCGGGGATAGAACACCGTGCATCATTTTACCTCAAGCAGTGAATTATTTTTCTTCACAATGTGAAAAAGGAGCATATATTCTGAGTGGGGGGAAATGAATGAGGAAGGACCAGTTCTGTATGATCTTAACTCTTCCCAACAACCTCTATTAGATATAAATAAGAATCTCACCTGCAGGGTGCAAGGGTTCTCTTTTAGCAAATGCAACTCAAGCTATAAGAAAACGAAGCAACAAACAGAACAACATTTGGAGGGAAAAAAACCATTACTTCTATCAGATTTTCAAAAAAAATCAAGTATTTCTGTCTTTTTGGGTGTATCTGATAGAGCAGAGTCCTAAATGTGGAAAACTATAGTTGCCTAACTCAGGGGAAACTCTACCTGGCACAAAGAAGTAAACGTGTGTAGGGGGTGGGGCATACTTTTTAAAGTTTTGCTGAAAATGAGGACATGAGCAATAGCTGATACCCTTGTAACACTATGAAATAAAGAAACTGGGGAATAACATTTAAAACTCAACTCCTTGTCTTCCACCATGCACTAAACTAAAATACAAGTGGATTAAAGACCTAAATATTAAAAAAGAGACACTAAATTTGCTGGAAAATAAGTTAGGGAGAACTCTTGAAAACATTGGCATATGCAGGGGATTTAGCTCAGTGGTTCGGTGGCGTGCCTTGCAAGAGCAAGGACCCGAGTTCGATCCCCAGTACTAACAAAAAAAGAAAGAAAATATTGGCATAGGGAAAGACTTTATGAACAAATCCTCAGTAGCACAGGAACTAGCACAAAGAATCAACAACTGGGATCTCATCTTATTAAAAAGCTTCTGCACTGCAAAAGAAACCATCAACAGGGCTAAGAGACAACCTACAATGTGGGAAAAATTTTTTACCAGCTACTGCTCAGACAAAGGACTCTTATCTAGAATACATAAAGAACTGAAAAAAAAATCAGCCCCCTCAAATATAAAGACCAGATTCTAAGATAGGCATCTGAAATGAACACACATTTTTCAGACAAAGAAGTAGAAGCAGCAAGTAAATATATGAAAAAATGTTCCACATCACTGATCATTCAAGAGATGAAGATGAAAACAACACTGAGATTCCACCTCACACACAGAAAGAATGGCTGCTATCAAGATAGCAATCAATAGGGCCGGGGATTTAGCTTAGCGGTTCCGCCACCTGCCTTGCAAGCTCAAGGACCCAAGTTCGATCCCCAGTACCAAAAACAAAACAAAAAGAAATCAATCAATAACAAAGTTGGTGGGGTTGTGGGGAGAAAGGAACCCTTCTCCATTGTTGGTGAGAGTGCAGACTCGTGCAACCCTTATGGAAATCAATATGGAGATACCTCAAAGAGCTGGGACTAGAGGTTCCATTTGACACATTCTGGATAAAGAATATGTGGTTTTCTAAATGATACTTTGCATATGTTCATGTTAAATGTGCTATTTATGCGGAGAAAAAAGTTTTTTTTAATAGAATATGGATATTTTGAAAAATAGAGTAACAAGACTAACAGTTGCAAAAGTCAATCTTTTGAGTCTAAAGATAGAATTTGACTCCTAATCTTTCACTCACCTGAGGTAGGTTTTTGTTGTTGTTTGTTTGTTTTGTTGTGTTTCTAAGCATTCATCTGCTCTTTCATGACGAATATAAAAGTGCCTACCTCATGAACTTGTGATGCTTAAGGGAGGGAACTCTTGGAAACTGCTAAACACTGTAAATGGTTCATCATTTCATGTTTGTTAAATATTTTGCCATGATCATGGATATGTACCCCTTTCTCCTTTTAGTTAAAGCTAGTAGTAAGAGAGAATAGGAAATATTTACTTCTCTTAAAAATTCATGTAGTATTTTCAACTGGCTTAATAAATGCGGCCTGATTATTCTTTCTACTGAAAACTTTGAAAATTCCAAAAAGAAATTAATTTTGATAGTAACACTCGATTTCAGAAAAGGAACAAGGTGAATTTTGGCAGTAATAAAAACAATAATTAGTCTACTTGAAAAATATTCAAAATGTATAATAGATAGTGTGAAACAGGAAGCAAAGATTCAAAGAGGAAAAGAAAGTAGAGAGTGGGGAAGGGAAAGAAGTGAAAGAAAAAAATATGAGAAAAGAAGGAAAAAAGAAACAAATCTTTTGTAAATAGGGAGGGGTAGACAGGTAGAAAGGATGAAAGAAAAATGGGAAAAATATAGAACCTGATGTATATCATGTATAGGTACAAATTTCCGATGATGAATGTGATCATAGTGTAAAATTTACCAAAAAAATAAATTTAGAAAAAAAGAAATTAGTTTCATTCTAACACCCTTCTTCTGTTATTTCTCCAAATGATCACAATTTAAATAGCTCTGTTCTGTTATACCAATTATTGGATGAATCTGATGATCAGAAAGTAAAAACACTCTCATTGTCCCTTAAAAGCCCTGGCATATAATTAGAAAACAAAAGCCCACACCTTCTGGGTGGGGATGTGAATACTTCTGTGTATCTTCCTTACGGATTAGAATTTGGGGCAACAACATCTGATGTCCAATGGCAATAGCCGCTATAACCACTAACATAAGAAGTCCAAGTGTCATTCTACAGCCTTTCAGTAATAAAATACATATTCCTATAAGTGCAGAATTATGAATATTAAAGTACTTTTGATCAAATGTAGGAGACTTAAGCAGCGTCTTGGTACTGGAAATCTCCTGATTTAGTCTGCATCTCTAGACCTTGCACACAGTACAAACCAAAACTAAAACTTTTATTTTAAATTTTCTACTGTTTTTCAATTCAATAAAAAGAATTATATGGATTTGTTATTTTAAAATATTTCTATTATTGGGTATAAAATTCAATGGTACACTATAATTTCTAATTGTTTCCTTTATGTACGCTGGCTCGGCAATCATTCTTTAATAGGGATGGGTCTCCTGAGAAAAGCTTCATCTAGCAGACAGGTTTTCAGGATTTGATTCTAGCTATAATTATACTGTACTCGATTTCTATGTAAATAGTAATTATTTTATGCAAATTTATATTTGTAAATACATTTCTATTTCTGAATGCGTCTACTGATTTGTATGTAATTTGAAGAAAATGTAAAAGTGAAAAATATAAAATATTGAAATAGATCGATAGTTAAATATAATAAATGAATTAAACATCTGAAACTGGTACATCAACCAAGTTTTTCCAAGGTTTAAACACAACCACTTGTTTTTGCTTCAGGCTAAAACATGGCACTCAAAGTGCTGGTGGAGATACACACTATTTTACCAAAGTGCTACATATATTGGTTAAACTGCTTCTTACTTGTAACACTGTGGGGATCAAAAGGAAAAAGAAAAACACTTTCTTAGGCTTCTCATGATTTCCTTAATCTCTTCGGTGAAAAAAAAAAAATGTGTCCTAAAACTTATTGCTGAAATGTAGAAACCTGATGATTCTCAGTCCACACTTAAATTTAACAAGCATTTCAATTACTTGCAGAATAAGCACTTCTAGAACCTCTCCATTAACTGTTAACAGTTACGTCCCTTTCACTGTGGCATGGAAATTCCTCCAAGGTTCATGGATCTAAAGAAGCCAAACCATATAGGGCAATCATATTACATAAATAAACTAGCAATTTATGTCTTTTTCCGTAGGTTGGAAATTCCAATAATCATTTTAATAATAATTTTCATTTTACTAAAATGATTCTTTGAATAACAGGTGACTGACAAACTCATGTTTGCATCAGATGCTATTTTCACCTAGAAACATTTTTCTATAAGTTAACAAAGGTGTGAGATAACTTTTTAAATTCAAGAAACAGTTTCTGCTTAAAGTTTAGCTTCTCAAATGGCCAATATATTTTTAGACGTAGTCAAGCTTAATAAACCAGTGCATTGAAAGATTTTTTTATCTGATACAATAAACCTTCATGATCTTCCTTCACCCACATTCTAAAACAGGAAGAATGTGTTTGATGTAAAGAAATGTTCATTTGCATCAAAGTTCTCCATCATAATTTTTCTAGATTATAAGTGGAGCATGTCAATGCTGTAGGAGTTTGGAAAAAGTATATACTCCCCCAGCCAAAGAGTATTGAAATTTCTATTTAAAAAATTGAAACCCTTATTGATATTTTGCTATACACCATCATTTTGTTTTCTTCTAAAGAAAAACTGCAGAAAAATAATCCAATTCATTGAGTACTAGCTGTGTTTGTAAAGATATAAAAGCAGTATTTCACAGAGATTAGAAACCAGGGTAGAAGAGTAAGCATATTTTTAACTCATTTTGAGTTTTGGGTTACAAAAGGACACATTAGAACACATAACCGAAGTCATAGTCCACTAATCAAATGATCCCAAAGAAAAAATTAGTTTTCCTCTTCTTATTCTCTTGATGCGGAGGGCCAGCTAACTTTTCATTGATCATGTTCATAAACATATTCTAAAATAACAAGATTTATCTGTGGCAAGTATGTCTAGCAGCTAGAACTCTTACTGCCTGTTCTGCAGAAGAGAGACTATTCTAAAATTAGGGCCTAAGTGCCAGGGCAAAATCAGTACACTGATATGATCGGCTGCCCAGATACACAGAAGAACTGTGAGAGATGAACATTCAACAGAAAGACAGGTGCTTTTTTTGCAGTTTAATCAAGCCAGTAATGAAGTTCCCACTTTTAGAATCTAGTGGTTTTGTGTTCCCTATAGTATTTCTATTTCTATTATTTTTCTATATGGAGATGGACTTATTCTTATGCAGTAGGACGGGAAGTTGAATTCATTTTCTTAATTACGTTTTCTGGTTAAGTTCTGAGTCTCTTAACATTAAGATTCTGGACTCATGGGCTTAAAACCTTGGGACCTTACATGCTTCTTTCATGATTATTATGTAGAGATCTGCGCCGCAGCAAATATATTTTAAAGAGAAAATTTAATGTCCATGAACAATGCCGTAGATAAATTAGTCTGTTCTGGTGTAAGTAGGCTGAGCATTGAAGCCCTCTATTGCGGTCACAACTTCTTCAGTTGGGTTGAGTCTTCACATCAGTATCACGGAAATTAAGCCAGAATCTCCAGATATTTCAATTTTTTTTCTTTTTTTTTAATTATACTCTCTTCAATCCTCCTGCTAAATGAAGACTATCCAGGGAAAATTTTTCAACTAGTTATAATTAATTTAGGAGACCTCAATTATTTTCTCGTGTTCATTGATTTTTTTGGTATTGTTGATTAACTAGAATGACAGCCAACCAAAAATGTGTGCAGTGCTCTATGCCACAATTATTTTTCAGGCTTGAGGTTGCAACTCTTAACTTGTTTTGACTGTGCAACTAATAGCAATTGGGATAATTCTGTACAAATTAAAAGACATGAAAAGCAAAGGCATGACTTATACTCCAACACATTCTTCTCGTCAGAACCATTTAAATCACCATCTTACACAAGCACATATTGAAACTCAACTTTAAGTATTTTATTTTTATGTACATTTTTTTCCAGAAATAAAGTATCTAAATACAGACCGTGTAATGCTGTATATGTATAGTTTTCAACAATACTTGAGCTGAATAGATGCTTTGTACATCGTTTGTCTTTTTAATGGCGTTCACAGCTACAGTGATAAAATGGATTCCTCATATCCTTTTTTTTCTTATAACCAATTAACAAGCAGAGAGACAAGTACAATTTAATATTAATAAGCAGATCAAATAACACTTGGTTAAACTATGTACAATACAAACCATTCATACAAATGAAGACTAGGATATTGAATTTGTTACAATATGTGTAGTAAAGATAAGACAGACACTTAGAACTCACATGGTGTCTGCCAGGCATTTCCCTTCTTGTACACTGATCAGAACTTGTTTTACGCAGCCTTAGGTGGTCTCGACTTCACAAATGTCCAATGATTGGTGATGAGAGCTGTAATTCCAATGTCTGCCCACATGTAAATTCCAAATGTTTGCTCATCTTTACTCAGAACAGACTCCCTCCACTGAAAAGAAAAGCCATCTTGTATTATCTCGAATGTGCCTACTAAATGCTGGGGAAAAAGTCACTACACTTTGCTGTGTTCATAAAATAAATATTGAGCTCTAACGACACGTTGTTTTTTTCCATTTTAACAAGCATATACTCCTACAGCAGTATTTATCAGTACAGCTACTCCTAGCAGTAGGAATGCATGAGTGGGGTTTATGGATTAGCATGGACTCAGGATTTTAAAAGAGATTTCCGTAACAGCAAGTTAGAAACATTCTCTGTTAATCCTTTCGCTTGATCACAGTTTATCCTAAACTGTTATGAGTCAGGCAGTGAAAGCCCTCTCAACAGGAACCAGTGACAGACACAAGCTGAAATGTATGTGAATGTATTTGTGTAGCTCTATATGTGAGGACATGTCTTCAAGTGTGACTTTAAAATCTGTGGTGAATTGCAACTACACTGAGAGATGCAGCTGACTGGACAGAAGTTACATCAGATTTTTTTCCACTAGCGTATTTGCAGCCAGTTGACAAGAGCAGCAATGTAGACACATTCCAGGCAACAGACGTGACCTTCTTCTTTGAGGTAACAGCCCTGTCATATGACCTTCAATTCCTCAGGCTTCAGTCTCACTCCCAGTCCATCCTCACCCCGAGGGGAAGTAAGGTGTGTCACTGTGGTAGTTGTAGTCGGGGCACACTTTCTGTACTAGTTTATAATCTGTACTATAAAAAGAAATGTAAATGCAGATCACCTTAAAGGGCTTAGAGCAGAGCCAGGACACATGACTTTGGGTTTGCTCCTGGTAACAGGTTTTTGAAGGGTCATAGTTGCAGAGTGTGTTCTTGGTAGCCTTGTCAACCTTTTCATATTCAATGCGACAGTTAAAGGACTTGGAATCTTTGGCATCAATCACGGTTTGTTGTGCCAAGTCGAATTCCACAATTTTTGTAGGGGGCACCAAGCTGACAGAGACATTCCCTTGGCCAGTGGAATTATGCCTAAAATAAACACTAAATGTCCCATTGCCATGATCTACAATTTTCCCAGTAATCAACAGGTTTAACTTCACTGTTTTGATGTTGGAATGAAAATCACCCCATCCAAACATTTTCTTGAACTTGCCCGTCTTAACAATGGGCCTTCTCTTGGCCCTGGGCCGAGGCTCTTGAAGGTCTGTGGAGTTCCTCAGCCAGTCCCAGAGGTCTTGCTCAGAATAAGGTTCTGGGGTATCGTATCGCAGGTCCAAATCTGTGTCATTTTCTTTCCCACGAAAAGTCTGTGACAGGAGTCGGCTGATAGATAAGTCTTTGCTGCTTTCTGTCCATATGTGCTTGAGTGAGGATTTGCTGCTTCCTGACTTCAGAAGTTCTGACTTCCCACCATTTGTTAAATTGGCGCACGTGACCTGAAAATAGAACAGAAAATTGGTATTTATATCTTTGCATCAGAGATTACCCAACACTCAAATCTAAGCCTTTTCTCAAAGGCTCAGAATTAAATGATGACACTTTCTCTTTTTAAAATCACTTTCAGCATCTGGCTAGTATATATTAAATTGTGATAAAATGTCACTGATATTTTTATATAACAAGGGGAAAAGACATGTGGCTGTATAAAAACCACTAAACATGACTTAAAAATCTATATAAAACATTGAGTAACAAAAGAAAGGCCATCCCGCATAATTATACTAAAGTGACAAAAATCCAAATACCTTTGAAATAAAATTTCATTATATTATTTTCCTGCTTCAAAATTACGATATGGTTTAAAACTGTGATTCTCCAAAGTATGTCAGCTAACACTATTTTGTTATGGACAACAAGGTCATTTTAGAACACTAATTTTGCAAAGAAATTTCAGTATATTTTGACTGGTCAAAGCAAAATAGTATGCTTATTATCACCAATCATAAGCAGCAGGCATGTTATATGAATCATAACTTTTATCTCACAGGCATTAAAATGTGGTCTAGGAAAAGCTTCATAAATTGAGACAGCCAATGTGAATCCACAAAAGCAAACAGCATATGATCAGAGAGTCACTTCAAGTTAGACTGTGAGGCCAACATTAAGAAACTCTTCTGAGATCCCAGTCTGGTCCCTGAGAAAAACTGAACCAGAGATTCAGAAGAACCAATATACTTATAGACTCAACATGAAGGACACAAGAACAGATGTGAATATAGTCAAAGACCCAAAGAAACCAGCGCAGCTGAAAGAGCTAATTCAGGCAAACCATTTAAGATGTGGACTGAATGGCCTACTGTAAGGCTGCTGAAGGGAGTCCCCAGATGCCCATTAAAAAAACAAGGTTCATAACGTGCATCTATTGCTAGGCCCCTTGAGAACCACTCCTAAGAATTCTCTGCGTCCTGTCTTAGACAAGTCTGATTACCACTCAGCAGCCTCAATGGAGTTTACAATTTGCTTCTAAGCTGTTCCCAACATTAAAGGTCATTTACAGGGAACTTCTAAAATCAGGTCTACTAGGAATTAGAGCTACATTTTCAATAGAGTTAGGCATGCAGTCTCCTTTTATGCTACAAATAGCTGAGAATATTATTTATCAGCCACTTGTCCTGGAAGGTTCTGTCCCAATCCCTGGGGAGAAAGACCATGACCATTAGAGACAGAATCCCTGGGATTCTCTCTCAGCTCTGCCGCTTTCAAGCTGTGAGTCCTTGATGAAATTCTTTAATCCTTCTTCTTCCTTAGGTTCATGAATCTGTAAAATGAAGGTAATAATGGTGTCTACCTCATATGACCAGTGACACTGAGCTTAAGAAATCCTGCAAGTATATCCCCATGTAAATTCACTGCATCTGAGTTAATCTGAAGTTTCATCATAGTTTTACATCATATAGCTTCATCCTAGAAAGCCAAGACTAAAATTCTATCAGCTATTTCAGGCTGCTGATCTGTGTCCTGTTCCATATTCTGTAATTCCTAAAAACCATAGTGATGCCCTCATGCAAAGATGCAGAGGGCTAATATGGGCAGAGTTTTCCATAGGAGAGATAAACCCTGACCAGTGGAGAATCACACTGTAAGGGCAGAACGAGGCCCAGAAATAATGGATGATCGATGGGGTTGGGGCCATAGCTGATGGAATCACAGGTCAGTCTCATAGTCTGGCACATGGTCACTCTTGTTTTAATCCTTGAACCTACCTATCAAAATGACCAACACCCTGTTGTCAAGTCCAAGACAGTCATCCGATGGGGCATATTAGAAGTGCAGAGAAGTTCATCTTTTCTGCCAACTTTTCTTTTCCGTTCTATGACTTCTCTTTCATGTCTGCTCATCCTTTGCATTGGTATCACTCCTTTCCCCTCTACTCAAACTATCTCCTATTTACAGGTTCTCTCTTTTCCAGAAATAGACCACATTGAAACAGTATACATAACTAATAACAGAAGAAATTGGTTGTTTTTGCAGATGTAATTTTTTTTAACAAGGTCTACATATTATGTCATAAAAGGGCAAAATTCTCTGGGAGAGGGGGATGATGCACTGGAATGTGAAAGGAAAAAGCATGGTAGTTCTTACCTATCCTCTGAAAATAAAGCCAGTGAAGCAGGGGATAATTTTGATATCAGAAATAGTATCTATAGAAATTCCATAGTTAATAATATGCAACTATGATGAGAAAACTAACAGACGCAACTAACATTCCCCTACTAATTCCATGAGTGATATGTATTTCAAAACATATTGCGTTTCTATAACAAAATGTATCTATACTTTTACATTTAATACTAACATTAATTGGCATGAGTAGTACAGTACACATCTTTTGATTTTGAAGGGCTTGTATGTATGTAATTGTTTCAATAAAATTACTCGAGTGTTTAAATATCCAATCCTAAATTATGTAAGCATTATCCTTACAAAAATCCATACACACACACACACACACACGTTTTAGTTTAGTATAAGAAAGAATTGCATTTCCTGTTCTCAGATTTTTACTTAGAATTAGATGATTTCCTATTATTTGCGAATAAAGAAGAATAAGTTCATTCATGTATTTAGTGGTTTAGTGGCTCAGTGCTTCTATCTCAGCATCAACACAAGACAGTAATGAGATGCTCACATGATGCACGGCTAACAAAGCGGTGAAGAAATTGCCCTGAAGAAGGGGGCGGGGTGCTGAGAACAGTTTATCAGTGGCATATTGAAACTGAAAGAAAAAATGTAGATGTAGATGTGGGAGACATAATTACAAAGAGAAAGGATTAATCTAGTCAAAAGACGGCTAAGACTCTGACAGCAAATAAAACTCAGATTTTCAGGTAGAATGTTAACTGTTTAGTTCTAAATTGCACTTTCCACAGATACAGTGCTTATGAACATTGGCTCTGTTGTTAGACTGTCTCATTCCCAGACCAGGTTCTGATCCTTAACAGCTGCGTGATGTGCACAAATGCATAACTTGTTCATGATTCTGATTTCTTTTGTTTTGTTTTTGCTTTTTACTCTTCTACAGACTAAGAGACTAACTCTCATCTCTCTCACAGGGCTGTTACAGGGATTAAACAGGATAATCTATTTAGAGCATTAAATATAGTACTTGGAACATGGTAAATGTTCAGCCTTAGTATTAGTAGCTGTTTTCATCTTTTCACTGGCTATTTAAACCTCTGAATCCCACTAGGTAATATTTTATGTAAATGATTAACGTGTCATAGAACTTGAGAGTAGAAAGCACTTTTGTAAGGAAAACTCCCTTTAACATAAACACAAAGTAAAATATTTCTAAAAGCATATCAGGAAATAGGGAAAGGGAAATGCGTATCAAATATGAAATGGACATAACATTCAGTGATGCACTATGAAATAAATTTGAGAGATCTGTTCAACATTGCACCCATAGCCAATAATACTGTATTATACATTGTGAAAATTGTTAAGAGGATAGAGCTGATTGTGTTTTCCTCAAAATATAACACATTTCTAAAATTTTATTTTAGTGAAACTGAGTACATATTGAACTTCAATAAAATATACATTCCTTTTAAAAGGCAAGGAAGGAAATCATATATATAAAAAAAAATATATATTAAGTGATATTGTGGAAACCCAGAAATTAGGGCAAGTTGAATAGGTAGTAGAACTCTGGTTAACAAACATGAGCATAAATTCAATTATTAAACAGTTCATCAACAAATTTCAGTAAATGTATTTGCTTTCAATAGTGTGTTGTGTAAAGCTCTGGTGTGTTCTAACAGTCAAGAAACTTTCCAATGCCTCGGTTTAGGTACACAATCAAAGCAAGTTTCACTTGCAACTGCCAACACTATCCTGAATATTTATTCTCTTTTGACTTCCGTTTCTCTTAGGCTAGGTGAAGAAGAGGGCAATATTTAGAAAACAAGGTGGATCATGAAAACCAAGAAGGGTATGTAGCGAAGACACAGACCTGTTCATATTGCCAACCCCAATTGTTTGTTTTATTAATTCAGTAACTATATAATTAGATTCTGCACATACTAAGGTAAATAGAGAAATGCAGAGATAAAAGACACATGATTCTTGCTCTCCAGGAGTTCACAGACTAGTGGGGGAATCTCTTAAACAAATCACAATAAGATGCTACCTGCATTATGTGTAATATTCTAGGAGAGATCATCAAAGTGAAAAGGTAGAGTATACCAGAAGAGATACTCCTTATGCCGTGGAGATAAAAGACAACATAAGGAACATTCCTAGTCAAAAGCAGAAATGAAAAGGAATGTACCAAGAATAAGAATGAAAAATAATTCTTTTCTATCAAGCTGAAATTAGCCAAGTCCTCACTTGCTTCACCACCCAGTCTCTGGGAGGCACCATTTCATTATCTTTTCTTATGAATTTGACTTTCCCATGTTTCATAACCAGGGTAACTGAGATAACCTGAAAGCAGATTTTGGAGGGGAGGGGGAAAAAATCGAGATGTGTTATGTATGTGTACCAGTTCCCTACAACAAGTGTAATCATCATGTGCTGAAAATGTGTGCTAATAAAAATTTGCAAGACTCTTCACATCACAAAATAAGTATGTGGCAAGTAGCTTGATGTAGCCATTAAAAACATCATGTTCTACACCATTATATATATATATATTTTTTTTGATTTGTCAACTAAAAAGAAAGAAGGATGGGAGGGAAGGAGAGAGGGAGAAGAGGAAGAAAGGAAGGGAGGAAGGGAGGGAGGGAAACAGACTTCATTTCCAGTGAACTTCAGAAACTTTGCTAGAAAGAACAAACAGAAAAATTAATGAAAAAATGCAAATTTGGTCATCCCATATTTAAATAATTGGACTAATGCGTAGTTACTATATTTGGGAACAAGCGCCTGGCACATGAATCCTTAAAAGGCAAGCCATGTTTCAGTCTTTCTTCATTTGGCCTGTTCTAGACAAAATTGCACCTTGCTTGACTTCAAGAAGCCATAAACTTGTCCATTGGAGTGCCCACAATTGGCCTTTTCATGGACAATAACTGGGTGATGTCAGATTCCAATAGAAACAACCGATCCCTACATATATAACATTTGTTTTTTCTTTAAGGAAATCTCTATTTACTGGAAAATTTAGTGTTTGTATGGGTAACAAAACAAATTATGCTGTGGTGGCTTTGTTTTAGTGCAGAAGAAGACTTCTTTTAAGCCCTTTGTTGGTGATTAGAACCATCCACACAGTGGCCCTCACATGAGAAACTCCTTAAAAATTTTAAAACAAAGTAATATAAAATATTAATCTTTCCCTGGGTTATTTTATCCATCTAAATGCAATGTCATACATTTATTAAGAAAAGTAACTTTTACAATGTAAACCTGAATAACTGTTAATTATGTTTTGAGATAATTGCTAGGTGGTGCTATATAGACTAAGAATTATTAATTTTCTATCAATACTGATGCAACTACATGTCAAAACTTATGTGCGTGTGTGAAAGTTTATAAAAGGAGCATAAAGGGGCCAGTATTTTCATAGGATAAAACTTCTATGTCTCAGTGGCGGAAGTTCATGGCTCTTTGTAGCTCATAGAAAAACCCTCCCCTTCATTGTTAAACAACCAAAAATATTTTAAAGATAAAAGTACCTATAGAAGAAGGAATGTAGGGAAAAATTAATTATTATAGTTGTAGATTGTTATTAAAGATGTTACATTAAAGGTAAATTAGAGCTCAAATTTGCCCATGCTAAATTGTAACATTAGCAATGTCTTACACTACTATGAACCCCTAACAATAATGACAGAGGTGAAAGGATTATGCTAATTGCCTTTTCTGATTGTTGGACTATTTGAGCAGATATAATGGCTTCAGTCCACAGACAGGAATAGAATAGAAAGTTGTGTTCTGAAAGCTTGTTTTCTTCTCTTTAGGCTTTTATAACCTAACAGTACAATAGTGCTCATGTGTCCAGATCAACCTATGTGAACCTGTATTTTTGACATATATATATATATATATGTATATATACATACATATATATCATATTTATAGCATATATATATAATATTTATTCTTTAGTATAGGAGACATAAAAGAATTAAATGCATACCACCTTCTTTAATTTTTACCCAGAATTAAATATGTAGTCTTCAGTAGTTTGGTTGGAAGAATAAAAAAAATATAGTCATAGATTTGATGTTATGAAAAGTACTACATATAAAACTCTTAATTTTGTCTTCACAAAAATCCAAAGAGTTAGGTATCATCTCCATTTTATAACAGGAGGAAAAAAAAACATGTCTGTAATTTATCATTAATAAGGAAGGGGCAGAATTTGGATTTAGGTTTGGAATACCTGGTACAAAGCAAACTTCCATTGCAATAAAGCCTCCCAGGCCCTGGCTATGGAGAAAGCATAAAGTGGGGAAAGCATATCCAGCCTAGAATACCTGACCTTATAGCAGGCTGTTTAGTACAGCACTGGGAAGGAAAGACTCACATGCTGCAAGAACTTCTCATGAAAACTCCTAAACTACCACGTTTTTTTTTCTAATGTTCTTTTCCTTTTAAAAATAAATTTTAAAAAATTAAAAAAATTTTACATTAAATTTAATTAATTAAATTTTTAAAAATTAAAACAAAAAGATAATTAGCACTGGATAACTACAGTCCAACTTCTGTAGTTATCTTACCCAGTTACTGACAGATCTGAATCAAATGCAACTGCCATCCATGAATCTGGGCTGTGCTTCACTTTGGCCTTGTATACTACTTTCCCTCTCCATGGTTTGTTTGTTTGTTTTTGGTACCAGGAATCTAACTCGGGACTTTGCTCTTGCAAGCGGAACCTCTGAGCTAAATCCAGAATCTCATACTTGAAAATACTGCTATGAAAAATATATATAGTTAGAGCCATCATATATACTAGCAAAAAAATGGTGTCTGGATTCAGGTTTTTCTAAGGAAAGCTAATCAGATACAAATCTAAGTAATGTACTGAAAAGTGCAAAACAACAAATAATAAAAGGGAATAAAGTAAACACTGAATCACACGACAGTCGTCCCAAGACTATGTTAGAAGAAAAGACAGGTCATGGAGAGAACGGGGCTAATAGAGCCCAAAGACAACTGAGAATGCCCGACAAGTGGCACGGTGAAGAGATCGGATGAAAATTACTTTGAGATCAGAGCTCAGATGTTCACCTGGATTTCCTTTAATGTACCTTGCAATAAGTGAACTAAAAGGACAGATTGTTCAGGGGAGACTTCCCTCTCCTCGTGCGTCCCGTCATACACTTCCAATTATGACGGCCATTGAACTGCCCTTTTCAAACGAGCTGGGTAATTCTCCAGCTGCCACTAGAGGGCACAGCCAGGACATATGACAGCTGTGTCTCCTCATCAAGGCAAAAGTCAGAAGGTTAGAGGTTTGGTTTTGGTTTTGTCTTGGGGGGGGGGTTAGGGCTTAGGAAGAAAAGGGCTAAAGAAGTAAGGGGAGTGGAAAGGGTAGGGGAAGGAACGAAGGGAAAAGAAAAAAGAGGACAAAGGGAAAAATTGAAACAAAGTCTTTGTAAATAGGGGAGGGTGGAAGAGGTGCAGGGAGGACAGGGCTAAGGGGAAAAAATAAGAACTGAGATATATCATGTAAAGGTACAAGGTTCCAAGATGAATACTGTATACCTAAAAAGTACCAATAAACTCAATGAAAGAAATAAAATAAAATTAAAAAGTCAGAGGAATCATACTGGAGTCACTAAGGGTCCCAGGGCTCTTTGAATAAAGATGAACCAGGAACTGCAGCCCCAGGAGCAACTCTCCAGTAAGTTACAGAGACTGGGAGGGAGATGCTACTGCTTTAAAACCACACTAGAAGACAAGGTAAATTGGAGAGTTACTGTGAGCTCCGCATCTCTCAGAGAGGGAGCACTCAAGGACAAGACGATAGATGGACAGAAAGAAAGAAAAAGAAAGAAAGAAAGAAAGAAAGAAAGAAAGAAAGAAAGAAAGAAAGAAAGAAAGAAAGAAAGAAAGAAAGAAAGAAAGAAAGAGAAAGAAAGAAAGAAAGAAAGAAAGATGATAGATAGATAGATAGATAGATAGATAGATAGATAGATAGAAAATGCTTTTTAATCTACAAAGTCATCTAGGTCAACACATATTGATGACTCTAACCTCATCTTGACTATGCTTCCCTCTGGGTTAGGATTCTGGTCACATCAGTTATTTGCACGTGCTCTCTTTCCTCCAATTTCAGGACCTTGGCAAAGGCTGCATTCCCTTCCCAGAATCCTTCTACCCCTTCCTGTTTGATAAGCAAACTCAACTTTAAACTGCTTCCTTATTTCCACAGGAAGCACAGATCCTCTCATAGATCTTACGCTCTTCTTTCATTTCCCTGGGGTGTCATCTCCATAGAAAGCCATCTAATACTTTGTTCACTGTTTTGCTATAATTTGTTGAATGACATATACCAAATAGGTACTCTACAAATACCAGTTAGATGAATAAATGTGTGTTTGGATGGAGTGCCTGATCACAAATGATGTCACTTTGCAGATGAGCTTGTCCATAAGCAGATAATCAGCTCACTTTCTGGCATACGTAAATGTGTTTACATTGTAATCCTTCATGGTGGCTTTATGCAATTCTGTAAACACACACAGAAAACAACACAGGAGGAAAAAATGATATTTTTCAAAGAAAATATGAGTGGCTGCTGCTGGCCATTTTAGGTTTTCAGGAATAAATACTACCTAAAATTTTCCTAATAAGTGGATTTTTCTTTAAATTGAGGGAAATGAAAAAAAGTAAATTGAGGGAGATGCAAATAAAAGAAACAATGCCTACATCATGTTTTGACAAATGTTAGAAATGCTTAATGAAACAATAAGAATGATCTGTTGGGTGGCACGAAATTTATCACCATCCTCTGGAACTTCCTCTGCGAACTGACGAAGTCTGACCCTAACATGATGATGGAAGAATTATAAATGGGACTCTAAAACCAGAATTCCATCAAAAAGAGCTTGCAAAACTGTCTGGGGGTGTCTTCTTTGCAACACTCAAATGGACATTTGTATTGACAATAATTACTTTGAAACAGGCAGTTAAGCATATGCTAGTCTATTTCTTTGTACAAATGCCAATTTGTTTGGGAAATGCAGTAAGATTTTTTAAATGTGACACAATAGAACCAATTTTAAGGGTATGATTTCCAAGGCTTAAAACAGAGCTATAAAGTGTCCATTAACAGTATAAATTAAAATGATAGTACAATATGGGTCTTGGAGGCATTTTTGCTCCTACCCTATAGAATTGACAAAGTGTAAATAAACACAGTTTGACTGTGACAGTTTTTTGTTTTGTGGCTATGTAGTGAAAATCCATGACTGTTAGAATCACAAAACATTTGAAGCTGGAAGGTGCCTTTGAAAGTACTTTATAACTAAGAAAACAGAGTCCATAGTGCTGAAATACCTTGTGTATGGCCACCAGAAAAATAGAAGCAAAGGCAAAAGTGTCATGTATCTTAGCCTCCAGCCTACTCCTCATGTTCCAAAGTTTTTTCCTTTTTTTTTAAAGCCAGCATATAATGTCTCATTCAGAATTTACCAAAGCTCTGGGAAATAATATGCCACACCGAAGTAAGAAACTGGCTCATCTTTTCTGAAAAGTGTCTGCATTTTGTGAATGGAAGAGATATAAGTATAGCATTATGAGTCAACTTTCAAACAAAAAGACAATGATACAGTGCATTCCAACTAGACCTCAGCATTTGCAGAGTTGTCTGTGGGAAAAAACTTTTGAAAAAACTTGTGCTCAGACCTTTCCAGACTTAAGTCTAAATAGTGACTGCTATGAAAGAGGAGAGAATCAAAATAAGAATCAGTTACAGATTTTCAGTCATTTAATCCATAACAGAGGGAATTATTCTTTAGGCACTGAAAGAAAAAGTGTTTTATATTTGCTTCCAAAAATGTTAGTAGACTCTTTTTTCAGAAGATTTATTTTTAGAAAGGGAAAGTTAAAAAAAGCACGTCAGATTCCCTTGTATGAAGGCAAAAAATACATAAATATATTGCCAATAATTTGTTAAGTATGACTTTTAAAGTTTTAAAATAGCACCTCAGGTAATTTTTTACTCATTTCAAATCCATCTTTAATTTAGTTCACTCCAGAAAATTAACATCAATACATTTTACCTTATTACAGATAAAAATCTTAGTATTTTGAAGGCTCATTCTTGCAACAGGCTTTGAAAATCAAGGATTCTCAAGAGGTAGTACAAAAATAAACCCAGGGTAGAATGAGCACTAAGCTAGATTGAGGATTGTATCACAATTGGTACCCAGAGTGGTGTGACTTACGCAGTTAAACAGTATATTTCAAACTTGCCTTGACTTCCTTTCAGTGAAAATTCTTATTTCTTGTTTAAATAATACTAAAGGAAAGTATAAGATTTATGTGTTTTTTCTCAAAGAAGGCTGGTTTTGCAGGAAATGCATTTATAAATGCAATTACCTTTCCCTAAGTAATCTTGTTTTTTAATAGACTGCAAGGATGATCCAACTTAATTCAAGTCTGCACAGATGTTAGGATTTATGTTTATTTTTAAAATGTATTTTGATATAATTGCCAAGTCACAAGGCACTTCCATTTACCATTTATGTAGAATCACCAGTTTATTCCACCTGATGACATGCTACTTTATTGCCTTTTTGTCTTTTCCAGGCATACACAAATGTAGGTGTGCATGTCTGTAGTTATGTATTTTTCAGAACCATTTTGAGGATAAGTTGGAAACATCATGCTCATTGACCCTTGAAAAGATCCTGAAGTTATTTCTCAAGAAAAATTATATTCTAATATACAACCAGAATCTAACTACCAAAGTTAGGAAATTTAACCTTTTTACAGTACTATAAGTCAACATATAGTCAATATTCATGCCACCTGTTATCACAATAATATGATTTTATGCTTATTAATTTATTTAAGATCCTGGCTCTTGTTTGTAGTTAACATGTCCATTTGACAGTCCTCCTTCTTTTTCTTCTTCTTTACATTTTCAAAGCATATTACTTAGATAATTTCTGAAATTTCCCTTAATTTGGGTTGCGCAAGTGTGCAATGCTAGTCATTTTATTAAAAAGTTCTGGAACTTCGTTTGACAGACATGATGTTGGAAAAGTGTATTCCTTAATTTAACAGTTTAGGAAGCAATGCTTTTTTAGTAGTTGCAATGAAAATATTATTGTACTATGCTAAATCAGAGCCTTGTGAGTCATTTACATTAATTAATATAATTTTACAGGTAATTAATTTATATGATGCACAATTGTTTTAGTATTATCCATAAGAAACCCATTAAATTTTGTCATTTTGCAGTCTCCTTCATTTCACATTTTGGCTAAATGAGGCTAATATTTCCAAAAATCTATTTGCTGGATTCACCGAACAGATTTATCAATCTGAGGCTGATGGTCCAGCCACGCCTCACCTAAACACAGAGATGCATTGTGGGAGCTGTATGATTGAGCCAATGTCATCTACCCTTAGGCAAAGCTAGGTGGGGTAAGGCCAGTCATGTGACGTGAGCTCATCCCGCAGTCCAGGGTGAGTAAATACAAGGTAGAAGAGATCAAAGAGGCTCCTACCTGTGACACAGCACACCATTTTACAGTAAATCACTTTTATAAGAAAATGTACTCTCAAATAATAACAAAATTACAATAGTACAGAAAACGCATACACAAGTAACATTCATTATAACCATTATATACTGTGTATATCGAGTGTACACAACAAGTGTTATTTACTGTATTTAATTGCAGGTACTATCCTATTATGTGGTGCTCAGATAGGGTGTTGCACTACTAAGATTTTCTCTCACTAGAAAGCCAACAGATTTCTTTACACCAGCATCTCAGAAGGGCGGGAGACGAGGCTTACAACATTGCAAAGATAATGGCATCACTTGGTGATAGGACTTTGTCAGCTCGCTTACAATCCTGTGAAAGCACCACTTCTATGCATCCACTGTTGACAAAACCATCACTATGTGGTGCACGACTGTACTTTATTTTGAACAAAAGCATTTTTAAAATATATCTGCACCATTTTATCATTTACAAAATGTATTAACACTCTAGGTGAGTAAAGTGAACTCTCTAAACCTTCACGGTTACAGACAGACGCCAGTAACCCAACAGTACTGTGGAGGCAAGCATGCGCCCTGCCTGAGAGCCTTCTTTCGAGTCACTTATCAGGGGAGCAGCATTCCGGGGCTGGCCTGGCTCTCTTGGATGAACATTACATAAAAGGGGGAGTTATATCACCTATTGTTTAAGCATAGTACACATCATGATGATTCCATTTCTTGAATGAACATAAGCGAGAATGAATTCTTGACCAAGTAGA